GGGTTGGAGAAATGACAGTACTTTCTGTACACTCATTTATAAAGAGAGAACCATTCCTGGTAGGCTGACATATCACAAAAAAAGCAGAAAGAGTATGAAAACAGAAAATGTATGTTGCTCTTAAGTCACCATACATTGGGCACCCTCAAAACAGTATGTCTGAACCAAGCCCAAGGTCCAATGGCCATGAATTCCCTAACCTGGGGATAGTGGTGGTCATCTGCTTCTTATGCCACTAGGCAATTTCCGTTTGAAGATCAAGGGAGTGCTTCAGTTCTTTAGATCTGCTATAAATGAGTTTCACATAAAGTCAAGGGAGCGTAAGGTCAAGTCCAGTTTACTTAGTGGGGTTCTCAATTTGATCCTTTTCGCTTGGTTTATAAAGGGTATTGCATACCTCAAAAGGACAGTCTAATGGCCCAGTTGTCTATAATACATTCTGTGGGTCATCAGGGGCTAGATAGAAATTAGGTAAAAAGTGCTCAACTGGGTGCTCATAATACCAGGCATATTTTGCCCTGGGAGTCTATGTCAAGTATGTTGCCCATATTTCTCAATGGTGGGTTTACATACATTCAGGTGCAGACATGTCCTTCCCTCCTCTTGTTATGAGTTCCAAGTCAGATTCACTAAATATTCTCATAGGCATGACTGCTGATTTGAGAGAATTATAGACTACAACTATGTAGTAGAAATTGATTAGTCCTCTCCCTCCCCCTACAACATGGGGTACTGACCCCATGTTGTTAGGCCACATCTCTTGAGGTGGTTTTTAAGAAGGTGACACATGGTTTATGGGAACTAGGTGGGCAAACTGCTTCATTGTTTGGGAGATCGTATTAGAAGACTATAGTAGTAGACTCACACATACTTGTCCTTTTGTGATTAATTGACTAACTTCACTCAGCATAATAATTTCGCTTCATCGTTGAGTGAAATTCTTCACTCAGTTTCTAGGTCCATTTATATCATGAGATATTTTGTGGTTTCATCGCTGATTTTTAGGTATGCAAAGTATTGCATTGTGTATATGTACCAGAGTTTGTTTATCCATTCTTCTCCTCATGGGAATTTGGGATGTTTTCAACTTCTTGCTTTTGTGAACTGTGCTGTAATAAACATAGGTGAGCATGCATCTGTTCATGTTCTGTCTCTTACTTCTTTGCGGTACATGCCCAGCAGAGGTATTGCTGGGTTGTATGGTATTTCCATTCCAAGTTGTTTCAGGAACTGCCATATCGTTTTCAACAATGGTTGTCATATTTACAATCCTACCAATGGTAGATGATGGTAACAGTTTCTCCAGGCCCTCTCCAGCATTTCTGAGTTTTGTTTTTTAATTGGGCTACCTTTGTGGGTATAAAATGATATATCTTGTTGTTTTGACTTGCATCTCCCGGATGGTTAGTGATTGTGAGCATTTTTCATGTGTTTGTTAGATATTCAAGTACCTTCTCTGATGAATTCTCTGTTCATGAACTTTGCCCACATTTTAATTGGATTATTTTTTTTTATTGATGTGTTGCAAGATTCTGTAGATTTTTGTCATTGGTAAATATTTTTCTTGCCCATTGTGCCATTGGTAAATATTTTTTCCAAATCTGTGGATTCTCATTTTATTCTTTTGATGAAATCATTAAATATGCACAAATGTTTTATGTTGAATAAATTCCATTTTATTAAAAATATATTTATTTATTAAATAAATTTATTCTGTCTTCTGCTTGGATTT